AATGCCGAGGTCTATTTCTGCTGTTGGTATTTCCTCATCTCACAAGGTTTCAACGAGATAAATCAGAACCGTGCAGCAGGGACTTCTTTCGTAACGAGCACGAGCATGAAACACGTGAAGAAACTGATTGCTCCGTCCCCAGAGCAGGGTTTGATAATGTGCAATAAATAATCAGTTTATTGAACAGCTGCTCATTAATCGAGCATTGCCCTACCTGTTCCATGGAGTTAGGCTGGAGCTCTGTGGGAAAAATGTATCCGAACCTTGCAACCGAGTATACCATGGGAAGCTGCCCAAGAAGCTGAATTTAAGTTGCCCAAATACCCCTAGATTGTTTTTTTTCCTGACTTTTGAATACTTGATTCCACAGCTTTTGTACTGGTTTTTTAGAGTTCTTTTTCTGGCTTGCTCCTAATGGTTTGGGTTTTTCTGGGGGGGTCCTTTTCTGAGAAAACTGGGAAAAAAGCCACCTCGATCTATCTAAAATACTGGAACCAACTGATCACCGGTGGCTTTGAAATACTAAACCCAGATGTTTCTTTTTCTGGAGAAATGGTTAACAATGAAAGTCACGTGAAGATTGAATAATTTTTATTTAAAAAGGACAGAGGCTTCAAATTGTCCCCTTCAATATTTGCAAATTATAACTTACTTATTTTTTAAGACTTCCATTGGGGTCAAACGCTGGTGAATCCTGACAGAAGCACCAAAAATAGTATTCTTCATGCAAAGTCTCGAAACGTTTCTGTGCTTTGAGCATATTGAAGGAAAGTAGTTTTCCCGAGCTTTACTTTCAGGAACAGCTGAAATACCAGGACTAACTTTTCCAAAGAAAACCGTTTCAGACCGAGACAGATACTGACCCAAATGGTTAATGTTTAGCAGGATCCAAACCACTGACAGTCCTGTTAATATTGCATAATAAATGGTGCCATGGCAGTAAAATCTGATAAACTTGGTATTTTTAAGGCGTTCCAAACCTTGCTGTCTTTGGTAGTGATAAGCAAAGGAGGTTTTATTACTGTGTTCACCAATAGTAAGTGGTCTGATTTGATCCGAGTCTGGCATGGGTTAGTTCCGGCCCCTGAGCTCCGTGGAAAACAGAACCAGGCATAAAATTATGTGGGTCCATGTAAAATTTCTGCTGTCAACTGGGGCAAAGGAGCAGGGAGGGAGGTTTAGGCAGAGGAGACCACAGGGTGTGGGGCAGCTCCTGCTTTCCTCGCTCACCAAGACAATTAACAGACTTTTTCTTATAATAATAACAATTATTAATACGGGGGGGTTTTTTCTTCAAAACAGGTATTTTTTGCATCGGTGAGATCTGGAGGAAGCAGCCAAGTGTTTTTCATGACCCTCAACAGAAACTCCATGATGAACTGGTAACAGACGAGCACTTGGCACTCACCGCCATGGCATTATTTCTAATTTAAAGGACATTAAACACGTGGACTAACACTGTAGAGGCAGATGCGGAGGGCCCCGAAGAACACCGCTCCCCACGCCCCCCCGGTGCCGCCAGCCC